CTTCCCACACATTTTCTATAGGATTGAGGGCAGGGCTTTGTGATGGCCACTCCAATACCTTGACTTCGTTGTCCTTAAGCCATTTTGCCACAACTTTGGAAGTATGCTTGGGGTCATTTTCCATTTGGAAGACCCATTTGCGACCAAGCTTTAACTTGGTCCCTCCTGCAGCAGTCCCTCCTGCAGCAAAGCACCCCCACAGCATGATGCTACCACCCCCATGCTTCACGTTGGGATGGTGTTCTTCGGCTTGCAAGCCACCCCTTTTTCCTCCAAACATAACGATGGTCATTATGGCCCAACAGTTCTATTTTTGTTTCATCAGACCAGAGGACATTTCTCCAAAAAGTATGATCTTTGTCCCCATGTGCAGTTGCAAACCGTAGTCTTGCTTTTTTATGGCGGTTTTGGAGCTTGGCTTCTTCCTTGCTGAGCGGCCTTTCAGGTTATGTCGATATAGGACTCGTTCTACTGTGGATATAGATACTTTTGTATCTGTTTCCTCCAGCATCTTCACAAGTTCCTTTGCTGTTGTTCTGGGATTGATTTGCACTTTCTTTTCCAAAGTACGTTCATCACTAGGAGACAGAACGCGTCTCCTTCCTGAGCGGTATGACGGCTGCGTGGTCCCATGGTGTTTTACTTGCGTACTATTGTTTGTACAGATGAATATGGAACCTTCAGGCGTTTGGAAATTGCTCCAAAGGATGAACCAGACTTGTGGAGGTCTACAATTTTTATTCTGAGGTCTTGGCTGATATCTTTTGATTTTCCCATGATGTCAAGCAAAGAGGCACTGAGTTTGAAGGTAGGCCTTGAAATACATCCACAGGTACACCTCCAATTGACTCAAATGATGTCAATTAGCCTAGAAGCTTCAAAAGCCATGACATAATTTTCTGGAATTTTCCAAGCTGTTTGAAGGCACAGTTAACTTAGTGTATGTAAACTTCTGACCCACTGGAATTGTGATACAGTGAATTATAAGTGAAATAATCTGTCTGTAAACAATTGTTGGAAAAATTACTTGTGTCATGCACAAAGTAGATGTCCTAACCGACTTGCCAAAACTAGAGATTGTTTCCCCCTTCTGATAACCAGGTGGCGAATCGCATCTCTGCATGTCTGGCAGACATATCAGTATGGATGACGGATCACCACCTCAAGCTGAACCCTGGCAAGACGGAGCTGCTCTTCCTCCCGGGGAAGGACTGCCCGTTCCATGATCTCGCCATCACGGTTGACAACTCCGTTGTGTCCTCCTCCCAGAGTGCGAAGAGCCTTGGCGTGACCCTGGACAACACCCTGTCGTTCTCCGCTAACATCAAGGCGGTGACCCGCTCCTGCAGGTTCATGCTCTACAACATTCGGAGAGTACGACCCTGCCTTACACAGGAAGCGGCACAGGTCCTAATCCAGGCACTTGTCATCTCCCGTCTGGACTACTGCAACTCGCTGTTGGCTGGCCTCCCTGCCTGTGCCATTAAACCCCTACAACTCATCCAGAATGCCGCAGCCCGTCTGGTGTTCAACCTTCCCAAGTTTTCTCACGTCACCCCCCTCCTCCACACACTCCACTGGCTTCCAGTTGAAGCTCGCATCCGCTACAAGACCATGGTGCTTGCCTATGGAGCAGTGAGGGGAACGGCACCTCTGTACCTTCGGGCTTTGATCAGTCCCTACACCCAAACGAGGGCATTGCGTTCATCCACCTCTGGCCTGCTGGCTCCCCTTCCTCTGCGGAAGCATAGTTCCCGCTCAGCCCAGTCAAAACTGTTCGCTGCTCTGGCACCCCAATGGTGGAACAAGCTCCCTCACGACGCCAGGACAGCGGAGTCACTCACCACCTTCCGGAGACATCTGAAACCCCACCTCTTTAAGGAATACCTGGGATAGGATAAACTAATCCTTCTACCCCCCCCCCCCCCCTAAAAAAAATAATATATATTTCTAAAGTGGTTATCCCACTGGCTATAGGGTGAATGCACCAATTTGTGAGTCGCTCTGGTTAAGAGCGTCTGCTAAATGACATAAATGTGCCCTTGAGCAAGGCACTTAACCCTAATTGCTCCTGTAAGTCGCTCTGTATAAGAGCGTCTGCTAAATGACTAAAATGTAAATGTAAATGTAACAAGAAATTTGTGGAGTGGTTGAAAAACGAGTTTTAATGACTTCAACCTAAGTGTATATAAACTTCCGACTTCAACTGTAAGTGAATCTGAACAACCCTTTAACTGTAACAGAATATGGAAAAATATGACCTTGACATCCCGTAATCTGAACCATCAATTTATACGTTTTAAATTTGTTCACAGAGTGTATTTAACACCAAGGAAACTTTTTGTGATAAAATTGGCCCCAACTCCCAACTGTTCACTGTGTCCCCTAAATCAGGTAGGCACATTCTTTCATATGATGTGGGACGAAGAAAAAATAATAATTTGAAGTGCATGAATGTAAATATTCAATGCTTTGCGTCTACTATGTTACTTAACAATGATAGCTCCTTGAATCACTCAATCAGTAAGAGATGATTACTTACGGCAGGCAGCACTGCCGCAAAAAAATATGTTGGCTCTTAGATGGCAATCACCTAAGTCTCGCCCAATTCGCTAGTGGATACAGTTACTATTAGAAGTTATAACAGTATAATTATTGACAGCGAGAATGAATGGTGCTAGTGGTGGTTGAATTGATTCATATTGGATGGGTGGGTTGGGGGAATGGGATGGGGGGTTGTGTCACACCCTGACTCTAGGGACTGGTATTTGTTGAGTCAGGGTGTGTATTTTCTGTGTTGGGTTTGTCTGTTAGTTTCTAGATCGTTTAGATCTATGTTGGCCAGGGTGGTTCCCAATCAGAGGCAGCTGTAGCTTGTTGTCTCTGATTGGGGACTATACTTAGGTAGGCTGTTGGCACTAGTGGGGTGTGGGATCTTGTTCCGTGTGGGGTATGTTATTTGTCTACCTTGGACGTCACGTTTCGTTTGTTGTTTTGTCGTGTGTTTAGTCGTCAATAAACATGAATACATATCACGCTGCGCCTTGGTCCTTCTCGTTAATGAACGATCGTGACAGAAGATCCCACCAAGCCTGGATCAAGCAGCGTGACGAGGAGAGAGGATGGACTTGGGAGGAGATGAGCGAGAGTCTGGCAAGAGGGATGGAGGCCATGATCACGGGGGAGAGACAAGCCCAACATTTTTTTAGTGGGGGGCTTACGCCGTGGACGACGAGGCAGCAGGAGGCCGCGATAGAGCGGTTCAGCCGTTTAGCAGAGGAGGCCGCCAGATTAAAGGAGTCATTGGTTCAGAGGGAACAGAAGGAAAATGTAGAGGCACGGCGAGAGGAGCTGGTTAGGCAGCAGAAGGAGCGGGGGTTAATGAAGGAACCCAGTCCCGCTCCTCGCACCAATCAAGTGGTGCGTGTCGCCAGTCCGGTCCGGCCCGTTCCTGATTCCCGCACTAAGCCAGTGGTGGATGTTCCCAGTATGGTTCGGCCTGTTCCTGTCCCGTGCACCAAGCCAGTCGTGCGCGTCGCCAGCCCGTTCCGACCTGTTCCTGTCCCTCGCACCAAGCCAGTGGTGCGCGTCGCCAGCCCGGCCCGGCCTGTTCCTGCTCCCCGCACCAGGCCAGTGGTGCGCGTCGCCAGTCCAGTACGGCCCGTTCCTGCTCCCCGCACCAAGCCAGTGGTGCGCGTCGTCAGCCCAGTCCGGCCCGTTCCTGCTCCCCGCACCAGGCCAGTGGTGCGCGTCGCCAGTCCGGTACGGCCCGTTCCTGCTCCCCGCACCAAGCCAGTGGTGCGCGTCATCAGCCCAGTCCGTCCCGTTCCTGCTCCCCGCACCAAGCCAGGGTTGCGCGTCGTCAGCCCAGTCTGGCCCGTTCCTGCTCCCCGCACCAAGCCAGTGGTGCGTGTGTCCAGTCCGGCACGGCCCGTGCCTGTTCCACCGGTGCCTGATCCAGTTCTGGTCAGCGGCTCCACCCCGGAGCCAGAGTAGTTCGATCCACCGTCGTCGGGTCCAGCTCCAGTCAGCGGTTCCAGTCCAGACCCAGACGTTAGCCCCTCTCCAGGTTCGGGGTCTCCCACACCAGGGTCCAGACAGGGCGTGGTACTGCGTGGGAGGAAGGAGAGAGGAAGCAGCGCGCCAAGGTCCAGACCAGACCAGGGGCGCAACGGGGAGGTGGAGAGTAAGTGGTGGTCACACCCGGAGCCGGATCCGCCGGGTTTGTCTGTTAGTTTCTAGATTGTTTAGATCTATGTTGGCTAGGGTGGTTCCCAATCAGAGGCAGCTGTAGCTTGTTGTCTCTGATTGGGGACTATACTTAGGTAGGCTGTTGGCACTAGTGGGGTGTGGGATCTTGTTCCGTGTGAGGTATGTTATTTGTCTACCTTGGATGTCACGTTTCGTTTGTTGTTTTGTCGTGTGTTTAGTCGTCAATAAACATGAATACATATCACGCTGCGCCTTGGTCCTTCTCGTTAATGAACGATCGTGACAGGTTGTGGGTAGAGGCTCACTTCTTTTTGTTTTTTTCCCATAACATAATACATTTATTATACATTTTTAACTCTGTAATATGATAAAAATGATCATCAATACTTTGTATTTATGTTTTTATTTTTTTTTGACTGGCAGCCCACGGGTACATATAGAAAAGTGTACAGTTCTTGACACAAACCGGTGCGCCTGGCACCTAAACCGGTGCGCCTGGCACTTAAATATTTGTTCTTGCCCATTCACCCTCTGAATGGCACACACACAATCCATATCTCAATTGTCTCAAGGTTTAAAAATCCTTCTTTAACCTGTCTCCTCCACTGATTGAAGTGGATTTAACAAGTGGTATCAATAAGGGATCATAGCTTTTGCATGGATTCACCTGGTAAGTCTATGTCATGGAAGAGCAGGTGTTCTTAATGTTTTGTACAGTCAGTGTATGTGGAAAATGTTGTACCCCCAATGAAAAATTACTAAATAAAAGTCAAAGTTAAAAAAAGTACCTCAAAGTCAGGACAGAAGGTAAAAAGGAAGGTCTCTCCTGTTCCATAGAAGCTGTCGCTGACTTTAAAGGGCTCAGAGGCCAGGGCACCAAACATCTGCAAAGACACAGAGAACAAAAGTCAAACTCAAATCAGCCATAAACAACTTTTTCATTTTATTTCACCTTTATTTAAGCAGGGAGTCATGCTGATACAACAGTCTCTTTCGCAGACGAGCCCTGCATGAACACATCAATAAACAACAATTACACTATACATATCCGTGGCGGTCAGTGCCGTCTATGATGAGGGAGGACAATTATTTTTTTCATGAGCATGGCCTTATTTCTATTACAGCATGTTGGATGACTGTCAGTCATATTCCATTCACCCAGGGTTAGGCTACTACATGATACTCAAAATTTCCCTATACCCATCATGAGGTTGCTACAACCTAGCCTATGAATGAAAGTTTACAACGTAGGTGCACACAGGTCGAAAGAAAAATGTGAGATGACAGACAGTGACACATGGACAGAAAGTGACACATTCAATACCACACACTCTTGCCTGCATCTAGCTTATCTAGGGTGTAATCATTAGTCCAACAGTTGCAAACAAGAGTTTCTATTGGACAAATTCAAATTTTTATCCCAGTTTCGTTTGCTTCCGTTTAAGGAACGTTTTTCAATAGAATCGGCAGAATGAATACACCCCTGATCACGTATAAACAGAGTTCACTTTCATAGCAGCCACGTTGTATTCATTCTATCCTCTATGCACTCTCCTCCTTTCACCTTTTCCCTTCGTTTGTGGACTTCAATGAACAACACATGTTGACCAGGCAACAACAAAAAAATCCAAACCAAACCATTTCATAACCGCTACACACAGCCTACATCGTTGTCCCCATATTAGCTAAAGTAACGTCCTAGTCAACACAGCCAATAGAACTAATGCATTTGTAAACCCGCCACAATCATGCAGTAACGTTACAGTGTATAGTCAGTAAGCAGTTAGACCGGCGGGCCCCGGTGGCAATAAATTAATAAAACCACAAGCTTACCTTGACTTGGAAGAGTTCCCGTGTTGTGTTGGCTAGTCATAGCCAGCTAGCTAACATAGCATCCCTCTGTTTGAGCCAGGTGTTTGAGTAACTAAACTAGCTAGCTGCATTTGCTAGCTAAGTAAGTGAAACTGAAAAAAAAATGACACTCTCTCTCTCTCTCTCTCTCTCTCTCTCTCTTGCTTCTCCTTCATTTTTGAAGAAATTAGTTTGTTGAAAACTGTTCAACTATTGTCTTTCTCCCTGTTTGAGTCAACTACTCACCACATTTTATGCACTGCAGTGCTAGCTAGCTGTAGCTTATGTTTTCAGTACTAGATTCATTCTCTGATCCTTTGACTGGGTGGAAAACATGTCAGTTCATGCTGCAAGAGCTATTATAGGTTGGAGGACGTCCTCCGGAAGTTGTCATAATTACTGTGTAAGTCTATGGAAGGGAGTGAGAACCAAGAGCCTCCTAGGTTATGTATTGAAGTCAATGTACCAAGAGCAGGATGGAAGCTAGCTGTCCTCCGGCTACACAATGGTGCTACCCTACAGAGTGCTGTTGAGGCTACTGTAGACCTTCATTGCAAAACGGTGTGTTTTAATCAATTATTTGGTGACATTAATATATTTAGTATAGTTTTATCTAAAAATGATAACTTTTTCAATGTTTTACCATTTTTATTTGTATGAAATTCACTGAGGATGGTCCTCCCCTTCCTCCTCCGAGGAGCCTCCACTGATACATATCTACTGTATATACACATCAATTACACAATACATGAAAAGCAAATACAAAACACAAAAAGCAAAACACAATCATATGAAACAAACACATTCTTCAGTTAAAAGGCTGCCTGAATTGCCCTAGAGGCACCAACTCCACCAACATTATGGTATTTTGGAGATCATTCAACATGAGAGGCGCAAAAAAACTAAAAACAGATTGACCTAACTCAGTGGAGATTGAAGGGATCTCCAGGGTTAGCTATCCCTGAGTCCCGGTCTGGTAACTTATACGTCTGAAGGTTAATAATGAGGTAAGGTATGGCGGAGGTTTATACCAGGGGGCTTTATAGACAAAAAGAGCACAATGCATCGATCTACGAGACTTCAAGGAGGGCCAGCCAACTTTCTGATACAGAATGCAATGATGTGTACTGAACATATCGCCCGTAATAAAACGTGATGTGCTATGATTAACTGCTTCCAACACTTCAAAACAGTTGCAGCTGAATTTCTATAGATGATATCACCATAGTCAATAACCGGAATTAACGTTGACTATGTGATATGTTTTCTGATATTTCAATTAAGAAAGGACCTGTTTCTATAGACAACATGATATCATTGAAAAGCATCAATCTGGTATGTTTTATCAAAATTAAATGCTTCAAGAAATATGATGCTTAAGTTAATACATTGCAGTCAACCAGCGGAAGATTATTAGTGTCACAATATTGATGTCTAGAGATAATTATTTTTACATTTTAGCAGACGCTCTACCAACTGAGCCAGATGCATTAATGTGCGTCAAATTGCCTCTCTCTCTCTCTCTCTCTCTTCTCTCTCTCTCTCATCGGCTCTCTATCTATCTCTCTCTTCTCTATCTCTAGCTCTCTCTCTCTCTACTTCTCTCTCTCTCTCTCTCTCTCTCTCTCTCTCTCGCTCTCTCTCTCTGTCTCATTCTCTCTCTCTCTCTCTCTCTCTCTCTCTCTCTCTCTTCTTCTCTCTCTCTCTCTCTCTCTCTCTCAAAATATATGCGTCAATTGATTTCATCCATAACTCAATACATTGCTTTAAAGACTTATACACTCACAGACAGACAGACAGACAGACAGACACAGAGACCGTCTAGTACTGCAAGACCATTGTGTTCAATGGAGGTCAAACATTTGAAGGAAATCGGGCCAAAATGATTTTTGACCTCCAGTGGACACAATGGTTTTGCAGTAATAGAGGGGCTCTATCTAGCTGTCATTACCAATTTACAAATTTCAGCTTTATAAAGGGATAAAGAGTATGTAGAGAGAGACAGATGGAGGCAAATAGAGGGAGAGAAAAGAAGGGAGGGAGAGAGAATATGGAGATGGAGACGGGGGGTAATAGATAGAGAGAGAGATATAATGAGAGGGAGGGAGAGAGAGAGAGGAAGGAAGGGGAGGGAGGGAGGGAGAGGGAAGGATAAACCAATAGTGCATTCACTGTTTTCCCAAATTTAGACGGATCACCAGCAGTCTGAGATAGAAATGAGAAAGTAGCTAGATTAAATGCTTACTTACAAGCACTTAACCAACAATGCAGTTCAATAAATAGAGTTAAGAAAAATATTTACTAAATAAAATAAAGTAAAAAATAAATTAAAAAGTAACACAATAAAATAACAATAACGAAGCTATATGCAGGGGGTACCGGTACAAAGTCAATGTGCGGGGGTACAGGTTAGTCGAGGTAATTTTGACATGTAGGTAGGGGAAAAGTGACTATGCATAGATAATAAACAGCGAGTAGCAGCAGTGTAAAAACAATGGGGGGGTGTCAATGTAAATAGTTCGGGTGACCATTTGATTAATTGTTCAGCAGTCTTATGGCTTGGGGGTAGAAGCTGTTAAGGAGCCTTTTGGACCTAGACTTGGCGCTCTGGTAACGCTTGCCGTGTGGTAGCAGAGAGAACAGTCTATGACTCGGGTGACTGGAGTCTTTGACAATTTTTTGGGCCTTCCTCTGACAACGCCTAGTATATAGGTCCTGGATGGCAGGAAGCTTGGCCCCAGTGATGTACTGGACACCAAGGAACTTGAAACTCTCGACCCGCTCAACTACAGCCCCGTCGATGTTAATGGGGGCTTTTTCGGCCCTCCTTTTCCTGTAGTCCACGATCAGCTCCTTTGTCTTGCTCACATTGAGGGAGAGGTTGTTGTCCTGGCACCACACAGCCTATAGGGAGGAGATCAGAGACCTGGTAGTGTCATCGTTGTCGGTGATCAGGCCTACCACTGTTGTGTCATCCGTAAACTTAATGATGGTGTTGGAGTCGTGCTTGGCCACGCAGTCGTAGGTGAACAGGGAGTACAGGAGGGAACTAAGCACGCACCCCTGAGGGGCCCCAGTGTTGAGGATCAGCGTGGCAGATGTGTTGTTGCCTACCCTTACCACCTGGTGGCGGCCCGTCAGGAAGTCCAGGTTCCAGTTGTAGAGGGAGGTGTTTAGCCCCAGGGTCCTTAGCTTATTGTTGAGCTTTGAGGGCACTATGGTGTTGAACACTGAGCTGTAGTGAATGAACAGCATTCTCACATAGGTGTTCCTTTTGTCCAGGTGGGAAAGGGCAGTGTGGAGTGCGATTGAGATTGCGTCATCTGTGGATCTGTTGGGGCGCTATGCGAATTATAGTGGGTCTAGGGTTTCCGGGATGATGTTGTTGATGTGAGTCATGACCAGCCTTTCAAAGCACTTCATGGCTACCGACGTGAGTGCTACGGGGCGGTAGGATGAGCTCCGTTCGAGACTGTCCTATCAACGTGACCTGAAGAACTGTAATATTCTATGTTTCTTGGACTCGTGGCTGAACAAGGACATGGATTATACACATCTCACTGGTTTTTCCATGCATCGTCTAGACCGGACAGCAGCCTTGGGTAAGATGAACTGGGGAGGGTGTTTATTTGTTAACAGCTGGTGCGCGATCTCTAATGTTAAGGAAGTTTCAGGTTTTTGCTCGCCTGAGTTAGAAAACCTAATGATAAGCTGCTGACCATACTATTTAGCAAGAGAGTTTATCTATATTTTTCGTAGCGGTCTATTTACCACCACAAACCGATGCTGGCACTAAGACCACACTCAATAAGCTGCATAGGGTCATAAGAAAACAAGAAAATAAACATCCAGAGGTGGCGCTTCTCGTGGCCGGTGATTTTAATGCAGGGAAACTGAAATCCGTTTTACCTCATTTTTACCAGCATGTCATCTGTGCAACTAGAGGCGACAAAATTCTAGATCACATTTACTCCACACACAGAAATGCATACAAGGCTCTCCCTCGCCCTCCCTTTGTCAAATCTGACCATAACTCAATCCTCCTGATTCCTGCTTACAAGCAAAAACTAAAACAGGAAGTACCAGTGATGTGCTCAATACGGAAGTGGAGCGATGAAGCGGATGCTAAGCTACAGGACTGTTTCGCTAGCACAGACTGGAATATGTTCCACGATTCATCCGGTAACATTGAGGAGTTTACCACATCAGTCACCAGCTTCATTAATAAGTGTATCGACACCGTCGTCCCCACAGTGACCGTACGTACATATCCCAACCAGAAGCCATGGAGTACAGGCAACATCCACACTGAGCTAAAGGCTAGAGCTGCCACTTTCAAGGAGCGGGACATGAATTACAAAGGGAAAACCAGCAGCGAACTGCCCAGTGAAGCGAGCCTACCAGATGAGCTAACTGCCTTTTATCATACCAGAAGGGCCGGATCATCTTTTATGAGGGTGGGCTGGTCGAAATTGACAAAAAAATAAAACAATGATATATATATATAGATATATATATGGAGTACACACTAAAGTTAAAAAGTTTATGGTCACTTAGAAATGTCTTTGTTTTCGAAAGAAAAGCAAATTTTTTGTCCATTAAAATAACATCAAATTGATCAGAAATACAGTGTAGACATTGTTAATGTTGTAAATGGCTATTGTAGCTGAAAACGGCTGATTTTTTATGTAATATCTAAATAGGTGTACAGAGGCCCATTATCAGCAACCATCAGTCCTGTGTTCCAATGGCACGTTGTGTTTGCTAATTCAGGTTTATCATTTTAAAAAGGCTAATTGATCATTAGAAAACCCTTTTGCAATTAGGTTAGCACAGCTGAAAACTGTTGTGCTGATTAAAGAAGCAATAAAACTGGCCTTCTTGAGACTAGTTGAGTATCTGGAGCATCAACAACTGTGGGTTCGATTACAGGCTCAAAATGGCCAGAAACAAATAACTTTCTTCTGAAACTCGTCACTCTATTCTTGTTCTGAGAAATGAAGGTTTTTCCATGCGAGAAATTGCCAAGAAACTGAAGATCTCATACAACGCTGTGTACTACTCCCTTCACAGAACAGTGCAAACTTGCTCTAACTAGAATAGAAAGAGGAGTGGGAGGCCCCGGTGCACAACTGAGCAAGAGGACAAATACATTAGAGTGTCTAGCTTGAGAAACAGGCGCCTCACAGGTCCTCAACTGGCAGCTTCATTAAATAGTACCCGCAAAACACCAGTCTCAACGTCAACAGTGAAGAGGCGACTCCGGGATGCTGACCTTCTAGGCAGAATTGCAAAGAAAAAGCCATATCTCAGACTGCCCATCTTAATCTTTTCTTTTTATTGGCCAGTAAGAGATATGGCTTTTTCTTTAATGGACAAAAAAAAAGGCTTTTCTTTCTAAAACAAGGACATTTCTAAGTGACCCCAAACTTTTGAACGGTAGTGTATATATACAGTTCATTCGGAAAGTATTCAAACCCTTGACTTTTTCCACATTTTGTTACATTACAGCCTTATTATTAAATGGATTAAATAAAAATTTGTCCTCACCAATCTAATAATAATAATAATAATATGCCATTTAGCAGACGCTTTTATCCAAAGCGACTTACAGTCATGCGTGCATACATTTTTGTGTATGGGTGGTCCCGGGGATCGAACCCACTACCTTGGCGTTACAAGCGCCGTGCTCTACCAGCTGAGCTACAGAGGACCACCTACACACAATACCCCATAATGACAAAGTGAAAACAGGTCTTTAGAAATGTTAGCAAATTTAAATTTAAAAAACAGAAATACCTTATTTACATAAGTATTCAGACCCTTTGCTATGCGACTCGAAATTGAGCTCAGATGCATCCTGTTTCCTTTGATCATCCTTGAGATGTTTCTACAACTTGATTGGATTACACCTGTGGTAAATTCAATTGATTGGACATGATTTGGAAAGGCACACACCAGTCTATATAAAGGTCCCGCAACTGACAGTGCATGTCAGAGCAAAAACCAAGCCACAAAGAATTGTCCGTAGAACTCAGAGACAGGATTGTGTCGTGGTACAAAAAAAAATTCTGCAGCATTGAAGGTTCCCAAGAACACAGTGGCCTCCATCATTCTTAAATGGAAGAAGTTTGGAACCACCAAGACTCTTCCTAGAGCTGGCCGCCCAGCCAAACTGAGCAATTTGGGAGAAGGGCCTAGATCAGAGAGGTGACCAAGAACCCGATGGTCACTCTGACAGAGCCCTAGTGTTCCTCTGTGGAGATGGGAGAACCTTCCAGAAGGACAACCATCTCTGCAGCACTCCACCAATCAGGCCTTTATGGTAGAGTGGCCAGACGGAAGCCACTCCTCAGTAAAAGGCACATGACAGCCCGCTTTGAGTTTGCCAAATGTCACCTAAAGACTCTCAGACCATGAGAAACAAGATTCTCTGGTCTGATGAAACCAAGAATGAACTCTTTGGCCTGAATGCCAAGCGTCACGTCTGGAGGAAACCTGGCACCATCCCTACGGTGAAGCATGGTGGTGGCAGTATCATGCTGTGGGGATATTTTTCAGCGGCAGGGACTGGGAGACTAGTCAGGATCGAGGCAAAGATGAACAGAGCAAAATACAGAGAGATCCTTGTTGAAAACCTGCTCCAGAGCGCTCAGTACCTCAGACTGGGGCGAAGGTTCACCTTCCATCAGGACAATTTAATCAATTTTAGAATAAGGCTGTAACATAACAAAATGTGGAAAAAGTCAAGGGGTCTGAATAGTTTCTGAAGGCACTGTATATCAGTCGTAATGCTTGGGGTAGAGGCTTTTTAGGGTCCTGTTGGTTCCAGACTTGGAGCATCGGTACCGCTTGCCATGCGGTAGCAGAGAGAACAGTCTATGACTTGGGTGACTGGAGTCTTTTTTTTTTTTTTTTTTGCATTTCACTGGAGTCTACACCTGTTGTATTCGGATTATGTGACAAATACATTTGATTGGTCCTCATGAGGGGTCCTCATGAGTTAACTTACAGTGATCCTTAACAATAGACCTGAGCACACATATTTTCTAAAGATGTACTGTATATATACCTGGTTGAAATATAAATGCTTTCAAATACTAGCAATAATGTAGTACACATAGCCCAATGTAACCAATGAAATAGTCCTACAAGTGCAAACTTCAAGCTAAATCAAGCACAATCTCAGTTCAAGTATTCAACCTAGGTCTAACTGTATACTGGTCACCATCCACACCACTCACATGTCCGTCGCTGTCCTTGATCACCATGAGCACGGGTGTGTCCAGGCCCTGCATGGCCCGGTACAGGGTCTTGATGCTCATGCCATGTTTATTGGTGCTGAAGGCCAGAGACCAGTGGTAGCCGATTGTCCTGGGAGGGAGGTTTTTGGCCAGCTACAAGGAAAGAAAGAAAAGAAAAAGGAAAGAAAGAAAGAAAGAAAGAAAGAAAGAAAGAAGAAAGAAAGAAAGAAAGAAAGAAAGAAAGAAAGAAAGAAAGAAAGAAAGAAAGAAAGAAAGAAGAAAGAAAGAAAGAAAGAAAGAAAGAAAGAAAGAAAGAAGAAAGAAAGAAGAAAGAAAGAAAGAAAGAAAGAAAGAAAGAAAGAAAGAAAGAAAGAAAGAAAGAAAGAGACTAATTTAGTAGGGAGCCAATTAAACAGAGACTAAGGCACAGAGGATCCCAGAGAGACGACAGTTAAAAGCAGCTGAGGACAGGTTTGGTCTCCAGCTCTTACTGCCTGCTCTGGGTCTCAGTGGAGACATTGCTCCTGGGGCATCTAGTAGAACACTTAGTTTAGATCAGCCTCTTAAAATAGGGAACACAGCAGATATAAACGCAATGTATAGAACATTCATAATCCACTTGTAATATGGACCAGAATAACAAATCTCCCTATGTGTACTATTTTTATTCACAGGATCCAGATGAATAATAAATACAGGTGAATACAGATAGTACAGTCGTGGTCAAAAGTTTTGAGAATGACACAAGTATTGGTCTTCACAAAGTTTGCTGCTTCAGTGTTTTTAAATATTTTTGTCAGATGTTACTATGGTATACTGAAGTATAATTACAAGCATTCCATAAGTGTCAAAGGCTTTTATTGACAATTACATTAAGTTTATGCAAAGAGTCAATATTTGCAGTGTTGATCCTTCTTTTTCAACACCTCTGCAATCTGCCCAGGCATGCTGTCAATTAACTTCTGGGCCACATCCTGACTGATGGCAGCCCATTCTTGCATAATCAATGCTTGGAGTTTGTCAGAATTTGTGGGTTTTTGTTTGTCCACCTGCCTCTTGAGGATTGACCACAAGTTCTCAATGGGATTAAGGTCTGGGGAGTTTCCTGGCCATGGACCCAACATTTCGATGTTTTGTTCCCCGAGCCACTTAGTTATCACTTTTGCCTCATGGCAAGGTGCTCCATCATGCTGGAAAGGCATTGTTCGTCACCAAACTGTTCTTGGATGGTTGGGAGAAGTTGCTCTCAGAGGATGTGTTGGTACCATTCTTTATTCATGGCTGTGTTCTTAGGCAAAATTGTGAGTGAGCCCACTCCCTTGGCTGAGAAGCAACCCCACACATGAATGGTCTCAGGATGCTTTACTGTTGGCATGACACAGGACTGATGGTAGCACTCACCTTGTCTTCTCCGGACAAGCTTTTTTCCGGATGCGCCAAACAATCGGAAAGGGGATTCATCAGAGAAAATCACTTTACCCCAGTCCTCAGCAGTCCAATCCCTGTACCTTTTGCAGAATATCAGTCTGTCCCTGATGTTTTTCCTGGAGAGAAGTGGCTTCCTCGCTGCCCTTCTTGACACCAGGCCATCCTCCAAAAGTATTCGCCTCACTGTGCATGCAGATGCACTCACACCTGCCTGCTGCCATTCCTGAGCAAGTTCTGCACGGGTGGTGCCCCGATCCCGCAGCTGAATCAACTTTAGGAGACGGTCCTGGCGCTTGCTGGACTTTCTTGGGCGCCCTGAAGCCTTCTTCACAACAATTGAACCTCTCTCCTTGAAGTTCTTGATGATCCGATAAATGGTTGATTTAGGTGCAATCTTACTAGCAGCAATATCCTTGCCTGTGAAGCCGTTTTTGTGCAAAGCAATGATGACGGCACATCTTTCCTTGCAGGTAACCATGGTTAACAGAGGAAGAACAATGATTTCAAGCACCACCTTCCTTTTAAATCTTCCAGTCTGTTATTCTAACTCAATCAGCATGACAGAGTGATCTCCAGCCTTTTCCTCGTCAACACTCTCACCTGTGTTAACGAGAGAATCACTGACATGATGTCAGCTGGTCCTTTTGTGGCAGGGCTGAAATGCAGTGCAAATGTTTTTTGGGGATTAAGTTCATTTTCATGGCAAAGAGGGACTTTGCAATTAATTGCAATTCATCTGATCACTTTTCATAACATTCTGGAATATATGCAAATGTCCATCATAAAAACTGAGGCAGCAGACTTTGAAAATTAATATTTGTGTCATTCTCAAAACTTTTGACCACGACTGTACAAATAGCTCCTCTGTGTTCTTCTGATCGAGAATAGCAATCAAGTCACCTTCTCTATCTGGTCCATCTGCAGGAGGTCGCTGGGCTTGCTCAGGTTTGGCCTGAAGACCTCTGGCTCCAGATCAGTCCTTATGGCGGGGCCATGCTTCGAGTTCACCTCCCTCTTGGTAATGATCTGATAGGAGAACAGCAGCCTTCAGAGATTTGTTGTATGATATCAGAGTCAGAAAGTGGGAGGGAGGGGGCAGAACTAGAAGCAGCCATGAAGGAGAAGTAATCAGGACTGTGACTTGGAAATAAATGGGACTATGTGCAGCATTGTGCGCATCTACATCCGTAGAGTCTTTCAGAGGAGATAATAATAATAATATGCCATTTAGCAGACGCTTTTATCCAAAGCGACTTACAGTCATGTGTGCATAAATTTTTACGTATGGGTGGTCCCGGGGATCGAACCCACTACCCTGGCGTTACAATAGCGCCATGCTCTACCAATTGAGCTACAGAGGGATGTAGATAGTGCACACTGGGAGAAGCATGAAAGACAAACGTCATACGTTACAATAAGCACAGCCCATGTCAATCAATTACTTGTTTTAGTTTATGCAGTCCTGTTTTTTGGCTTCCTTCATACATTCTCAATGTAGAGGATGGTACTGTATTATAGCTAGACTGTCAGTCAGCATACACAGGGAGAGATCAGAGGGTGTGATGAGGTGATGTCGAAGGAGTCAGGCGTAGGAGGGTAAATCACAGAATAACAGGCTTTATTCCGCAATTACAGAGTTACTCAGAAATGCGTCAAAACACTCTAGTGCGCAAAACAGGCGCACTGGAAAATACACGGCACATGGAGAAATATCCCCGCTATACAAAATACACGGAGCTCCACCGAGCTTCACTATCCTCCACAATAAACAATCACACACAAAGACAAGGGGGCAGAGGGAACACTTATATAGGTACTGATGAGGGGATATGAACCAGGTGTGTGTAATAAACAAGACAAAACAAATGGAATGATGAGATGCGGAGCGGCAGTGGCTAGAAGGCCGGTGACGATGAACGCCGAAGCCTGCCCGAACAAGGAGAGGTGGCAGCTTCGGAGGAAGTCGTGACACTGGGGGAGAGAAAAATGTCACAGCAATCCAAGAAGTAAAATGTGGATCTAGATCTACCTTTCACCAACACAGCACTCAAATGGATATAAACTCAGCAAAAAAAGAAACGGCCCTTTTTCAGGACCCTGTCTTTCAAAGATAATTTGTAAAAATCCAAATAACTTCACAGATCTTCATTGTAAAGGGTTTAAACACTGTTTCCCATTCTTGTTCAATTAACCATAAACAATTAATGAACATGCACCTGTGGAACGGCCGTTAAGACACTAACAGCTTACAGACGGTAGGCAATTAAGGTCACAGTTATGAAAACTTAGGACACTAAAGAGGCCTTTCTACTGACTCTGAAAAACACCAAAAGAAAGATGCCTAGGGTCCCTGCTCATCTGCGTGAACGTGCCTTAGGCATGCTGCAAGGAGGCGTGAGGACTGCAGATGTGGCCAGGGCAATAAATTGCAATGTTCGTATTGTGAGACGCCTAAGACAGCGCTACAGGGAGACAGGATGGACAGCTGATCGTCCTCGCAGTGGCAGACCACGTGTAGCAACACCTGCACGGGATCTGGTAAAAAGTAATGCACTATAAGGAATAGGGTGCCATTTGAGATGGCACAAAGGTCACCAAGAACAAGCTGGGGAGAATATATTGGTTAGTAAGGTTGCAGAGAGCTAACGTTGGCGGAAGAGACATGGTGATATTATTTATCGAAGTGCAAAGTACTACTATTAAACCTTTGGATGCCATCTACGATAATTCCCTTCATTTTGTTACAGGCGACAGTTTTGATACTCATCACTGCATCCTGTATCGAAAGGTTGGCTGGACTTCGCTAAAGACCTGTAGATCTCTAAATTACTCCCTTTTTGTTTACAAGGACCTTCTTCATAAACTTCCGTCTTATCTAACTTTGCTGTTGATGTATAGACACCTGTGTTGCCTATCCCGTTCACAGGATTGGTTAACTCTTGAGGTTCCTAGGGTCTCCACCAAGCAAGGTAAATCTGCTTTTTGTTTTAATGCACCGTATTGCTGGAACAAAATTGAAAATACATTTCATCTTTGATGCTCTGGTGCCTGCTCAAATTCGAGGATTGGCGACTCCATTACCCGCAATATTAGACTTAAATATAATCATCCAGCGATCTTACACTGTTTACCAGGGGGCACTACCAACGTAAAGGCTAATCTGAAGAGGGTGCTGGTTAAGGCTAAAACTGGCGAGCGTAGAGAGTATAGGGATATTGTTATATTGTTATCCACGTCGGCACCAACGACGTTAGGATGAAACAGTCAGAGGTCACCAAGCGCAACATAGCTTCAGCGTGTAAATTAGCTAGAAAGATGTGTCGGCATCGAGTAATTGTATATGGCCCCCTTCCAGTTAGGGGGAATTATGAGCTCTACAGCAGAGTCTCACAACTCAATCGCTGGTTGAAAACTGTTTTCTGCCCGAAAGATAGAATTTGTAGATAATTGGCCCTCTTTCTGGGACTCACCCACAAACAGGACCAAGCCTGGCCTGCTGAGGAGTGACGGACTCCATCCCAGCTGGAGGAGTACTCTCATATTATCTATGAACATTAGACAGGGCTCTAACTTGTCTAGCTCCACAATGAGATAGGGTGCAGGCCAGGCAGCAGGCTGTCAGCTAGCCTGCCAGCTTAGTGGAGTCTGCCACTAGCATAGTCAGTGTAGTTAGCTCAGCTATCCTCATTGAGACCGTGTCTGTGCCTCGATCTAGGTTGGGCAAAACTAAACATGGCGGTGTTCGCCTAAGCAATCTCACTGGAATAAAGACCTCCTCCATTCCTGTCATTATTGAAAGAGATTGTGATATCTCACATCTCAAAACAGGGCTTTTTAATGTTAGATCCCTCACATCCAAGGCAGTTATACTCAATTAACTAATCACCGATCATAATCTTGATGTGATTGGCCTGACTGAAACATGGCTTAAGCCTGATGAATTTATTGTGTTAAATGAGGCATCTTCTCCTGTTTACACTAGTGACCATTTCCCCCGTGCATCCCGCAAACGTGATAGCAAATGTCAATTTACAAAAACAAAAATGACTGTGTTTGACTTTTGAGCTTCTAGTCATGAAATCTATGCAGCCTACTCAATCACTTTTTATAGCTACTGTTTACAGGCCTCCTGGGCCATATACAGAGTTCCTTACTGAGTTCCCTGAATTCCTATCGGACCTTGTAGTCATGGCATATAAATTATTCACATTTTTGGTGACTTTAATATTCACATGGAAAAGTCCACAGACCAACTCCAAAAGGCTTTCGGAGCCATCATCGACTCAGTGGATTTTTTCCAACATGTCTCCGGACCTACTCTAGTTTTGTCCCGTGGAATAAATATTGTGGATCTAAATGTTTTTCCTCATAATCCTGGAGTATCGGACCACCAATTTATTACGTTTGCAATCGCAACAAATAATCTGCTCAGACCCCAACCAAGGATCATCAAAAGCTGTGCTATAACTTCTCGGACAACCCAAAGATTCCTAGATGCCCGTCCAGACTCCCTACACCTACCCAAAGACGTCGGAGTACAACATTCGGTTAACCACCTAAAATCTACATTTAACCTTGCGTAATACCCTAGATGCAGTCGCACCCCTAAAAACAATAAACATTTCTCACAAGAAACTAGCTCCCTGGTATACAGAAAATACCTGAGCCCTGAAGCAAGCTTCCAGAAAATTGGAAATGGTGCTCCACCAAACTGGAAGTCTTCTTATTGGCTTGGAAAGACAGTACCGTGCAATATCGAAGAGCCCTCACTGCTGCTCGATCATCCTATTTTTCCAACCTAATTGAGGAAAATAAGAACAATCCTAAATGTATTTTTGATACTGTCACAAAGCTAACTAAAAAGCAGCATTCCCCAACAGAGGAAGCCTTCACTTCAGCAGTGATGAATTCATGAACTTCTTCGACGAAAAGATAATGATCATTAGAAAGCAAATTACGGACTCCTCTTTGAATCAGCGTATTTCTCCAAAGCTCAGTTGTCCTGAGTCTGCACAAAACTACCTGGACCTAGAATCAATGGAGACCCTCATGTTTTTTAATCCTATATCTCTTGACACATTCATGAAAGTAGTCATGGTCTCTAAACCTCCAAGCTACATACTGGACCCTATTCCAACTAAACTACTGAAAGAGCTACTTCCTGTGCTTTGCCCTCCTATGTTGAACATAATAAATGGCTCCCTATCCACGGGATGTTTACTAAACTCACAAAAAGTGGCAGTAATAAAGCCTCTCTTGAAAAAGCCAAACCTTGACCCAGAAAATGTAAAAAACTATCGGCCTATATCGAATCTCCCATTCCTCTCAACATTTTTAGAAAAAGCTGTCTTCCTGAAGACAAATAATGTATACAAAACGCTTCAGTCTGGTTTTAGACCCCATCATAGCACTGAGAAGGTGTGTTGTAACAATATAAATCCTGGGGAAATCAGGAGTATCTGAAAGATCCTGTCCACATTCTCTGGCTGTTCAGCAGCAGAAAATACCCGCAACTCTGTGAGATGGCAGTGAAGACGTTAATCCCCTTTTATTCTACCTACTTATGTGAGACCAGCTTCTCCTCTCTTGCTGCAACAAAATCAAAAAATCTCTACAGACTGGCTGTTGAAAACACCTTGACAACACTGGGGTGTCCGGGGCACAAAAAAGTTTGAGAAAGGCTGGCCTTATAGGTTATAGGTCTGAGCTATATGAAGAGCATGCTCGGAGAATCAAAGGGCAAAGTTATATTTCTAAGAAAATTTACTTCCTACCCGAGTTTTTGCACTGCTCGGATGATGTATATTAAACTAGGCTACACTGCATTACACAGTGCAATTGATAGGCGTTCCCAATCATGAGCCCAGGCCTGCGCTGCTCTTGCTAATGTAAACCCTTTTGTTCTGCCTAACCAATGACTGTGCTGTGTATGGAGGCACTTCAGGAGGCGAGTCAATTTGTTTAAAAAATGCAATATCTGTGCGCACGGACTAGGCCTACTGATGTCCTGTTCAGCTTGTGAGGGA